ACATTTTTTGTTGTTAGCTTCCTGTTTTTTTTGTTAGCTTCTCTTTCCATTTTTAATGGTGCGACTTTGTCTCTCTCTCTCTTTCCGGGATGGAAAACAACTCTCTCTTCTTACTAACTTATAACCCGCCCAGTTGGCTGGAATGTTCATATTTTAATATTTTTATTTTTATTTTATATTTAAGTCTATTAATTCGTTTAAGTTTATTGAAAATCATTCAATCGAGATACTACATAAAGAATGAATATATAGGTCGAACATTCAGAGATATACCCTCCTCATTTAAGAATATAAAAATGTATCATTATTCCCATTTTCATAATGATAATTCAACCTCCATTTAAATGATATTGGTTAATAGATTGTCCATAAATATATAATATAAAAGCTCATTGGAATTCCCACACGATCCATAAATAGTTTGAAACTGAAATGAAACCTCACAATCCCACATAAATGGTTCATACCTCTCCTCTGTGACTAATAAAAAAGAAATGGATTTATAAAAAAAAAACAGAAATGAAGAGTTGTTGATTCAAGTAAATCATATGCTAACAACTCAACTAAAAGGAGACCATCAAAACTTGAGAGCAAATGACAAAATTAAAGTTACATCCAATATACTAATAGACTCGATCAAAGTAATGAGGCACAAAATTAGACACTCCTTATCTACAGGTTCCAGAAGTTTGAATAGTGAATCGATCTTAAATTTAGTAAATCAATCAATGATTCCTCGGCTTAACATAAACATAGGTTATGGTAGTTGCAACAACCATAACACCTAAAGATCCAATAGTTTTCACTCTCCATTGTACAACCAAATTTTTATCCCCTCCATCTTCAATCTCTCGACGTATATGTTTTATACCAAAATTCAATTTATAATCCTCATTCTGCAACTCCATTTATGCTACTTTGATGGACATTCTCTCCATGAACTTGAATTTCTCTTTCAATTGAGTTTCTTGTCAGCTTGATCTCCAACTCCTCAATCCTCTTTCTTGTGTTTGGCCAACTCATCTTCCTCAGGGCAGTTTTAATAAGCTCATAAAACCAGCACTCATCTTCAATTCCATCAATATGCTCTTCTCCTCCTTCTCTGCTTTCACCTGATCCAGTTCACTTCCATGCCCTTCAATACCTTCTCCATTTTCATTAATATCCTGATCATCTACCACTTCTCTCTCTTTCAATACCCTCCTTGGTTCAATCACTACCCTGACCAACTGCCTCTTCACTGCCTTCACTTGCTGCAAACTACTTCCATGACTTTTTATACACCTTCCTCAAAATCACAATCAACTAACCAATATCAATCCATGGCCTTAAATTAGTTTTAAACTCTCTATGAACATCTCAATACCACAAAATCTAAATCTAAATATTCTTTCAGTTAATCATGAACTTGAGTTTATCAAAATCTAATCCACTCCATCTAAGTTGGAATTCTCATCCCCCAGGCTCATTTTTGGTTCGTTTGATCCCACATAACCATGATATAATACCTCTAACTAAAATAAATCAAAGCATTTTACGAAAAGAAACCGAACCATGAACTCTACCTGCTACCAAATCCAAACACAATTTCTTCCTCTCACCACTTCCATTCCTAAATCCAATATCAACTTTTACTCCAAGTTCACACCCCCAACTCCCAGTGTGTTGCGTGAAAGCTTAATTTTAGCAATCATTATGCTTGGAATTAGATTAATGGACACCAGCAAGTGCCAAAATTTCACCAGACGTTGAGTTGTGTTCACTTTGAGGTTTGACATACAACTGCTGGCCCGATATGTTTATCAGTTTGGAGGCCATATGATGAGCAATACCGAATCAGTTGCAGTGAAGTTACCGGTCACAGTTATGACAATGTGAAACATGTGTTAACAAACGCGAATATGGGTTACTTTTATGGATTGACATTAGAATGATGGGATTGGACAATGAGATCGTCCTTAGTTAAGTGACATGTAAATTGGTTCATTTGGTATGGAGGACACAAACCATTAAAATTCTAAATTATTTGGGGGAGTTTGTATTTAGTGTTTTCAAAATCGTAGTATATGAGTTAGGTGATTAAAATATCTAAACCCAAACGAACCAACCCACGTACACCCCTAGGAAGAGTTTCAAAACTTAGTATTTAACCGGACAAAAATGTTCAGAAAACCAGTCTCCTATAGTTTGCACAAAGATATGATTGCTTCACTATAGTTCTGGAAATTAATGGTAATTTAAGAATTCTATATTGCTTCTACATATTCAATACTATAATTCGATATGAAATATTCGAACCAACAATATTTTTGTTGCAGATTTATGGTTATCCTCTATTTATAAGATAGATAAAAAATTTATATTAAGTACTAAACTATAATTAAAATAAAAAATATCAAAATCGAAGTATCAAAACACCAAATAAGTACTTACGGAATATTTATTGGGCTAGCTAATTGTTGAAAAGTTCTGTGATTTCATATTTTAGCTTCGTATATATTTTTAATTAAAAAAATACAAAAAATCTACATAGTCTCATTGATTAAAAAATACAACAAATCTACATAGTCTCATTGATTTTAAACCTTCACTTTGTTTGAAGTGACCATGGTTCAAATCTCAATATGTCTATCTTTTTCTGTAAATAAATAAAAAATACAGATAATTGTGAAGATAAAAATGTTCTTACTAATTTCCCTCTCATTGAAGGAAATTTGAAAAGGGAGATTAAGTTTCAAATAATTAAATCATATACCCTAAGTCTATAGAACTTAAACCCTAATATCACATATACTAAGAACATAATCAATGATTCTGATTCGCCACGATGATACAACATATCATATGCACTATATTAGGATTTAGAGAATTATGATATAGGGTTTAGTTACGTGATTAATCTATGGTCTAGATAATGTTATTTAACTAAGGAGATGCAATAACCCTCAATCCATCGAGCGTACCATAGAATTTCCAATGTATATACACATACCATTGTTTGTTAAATTTAGCCAATGATAATTGGCTCATTTGTCAATGGTATTTAGTCTTTCAATTCTATGTTTATAATTGTCAATCATTAGGGAAATTGTTAGCCAATGATTTTTGGCCATTCACTTATAGCATTGAAAATGTCTTGTTACAAAACCATAGATCACAATGTCAAATTTTATGTTTTGAAATAAAATTTTGTATAGCACTTTTGTAAACAATCATTGTATTCCTACAAACTACAAAGTCATGTAACCTAATAAATGTAAAAGTTGTAAGACATATATAAACTCAAAATGTACTATTTTATTGTTGGTGAAGAATTGTGTGATTAGAGGAACTCACATAGTTGATTCAAAAAGCTAGGTATATCATGATGTTCACTTTGTAAATAATTATAGTTATTAATTAATTCGATGATTGATTGTTGCGGTGGATAGTCCTATATGATTTTTGAGATATTTCAGTGTTTTCTCACTTTAATTCAAAAAATACATAAACATTGGTGTAGTCTAGTTGGTTAGGGATATTCACTATCAATCTAAAGGACTTGAGTTCAAGTTTTTGTAATTACATTTTTTTCTCGTAAGATAATTAAATTCTAAGTTGAACTTATAAAATTTACCCCTAACTACAATTAAGGAGAGTGCAAAGAATTTGAAATGCTCAAAAACTCCTGAAGAACTGCTATATATTATAGAGGGATACCTTGCACTTTTCGAGCAAAAAACTCACCTTCCTCAATTGAGGATCTTGAACAAAAATCTAAAGAAAATAATCATAGCTTAGAATTCTCCAGGACTTTATGAAACACTTAGATTTCTCCGGTAGCTTTTTAATGACATTCTGGCTGGTTAACAGGATTGGGAAAAAAAGACTAGAAAGGGGATTAATCAAGGAAATTGTAAATCTTGGGCGAGCTTCAGATCCAACCATAATCAGTTTAGAACTATAACTTAATCTAGAGCTTTCAATATATGATCCCAAAATAAGAGTCATCTCCTCAAAGGTCTAAACTTCCCCCTGTAATTGTACCTCGGATTTTTTGGAAGCACGTATAACACTTGTTTTTTATTCCAAGAAACTCAATACCGAAAAAAATAACCCATGAATCTCAAATTGATTAAGAGCTCGTCGAGATGGAGAGAGTTTGGACGGGAGCAATCAAGTTTTGAATATGATAAATAAGAACTTTTGTTTTAGTCTAATATAATAGAGAAAAACTCTGAGAATCAGAACCGTAGAAGAAGAGAGATAAAATGGGGTAAGAGAGAAACATGTTGAAACCAAGGTTGTCAAACCGGTTTAAGTCATTGAGCCGGTCAAGCAAGGGGTTTGAGGTTTAATGGTCTGATCGGGGTCTGGCCGGTTTGAGCCGTTTTAGACGTTTTCTAAATATATATACAAATAAAGTAGTAATTAAAAATTTAATGAGTGAAATAAAATTTATCTTACATATATCTATTAAAAACTTATTTTCAACAAAATAAATCTACCTAACCTCCATGATCCACCTACCATTTCCCTTCCTTCGTTCCTTTTCCTCTCTTCTGCCTCTCTTCTTCTCCCTGTTTAGGCGTCAGACCGGGGGGTTTTCTGGAGGCCGTTTTGAAGCCCGACTCGGGTTGAACCGGGTCCAACCGGGGGGTTCGATAGGGGTTTAACAACCTTGGTTGAAACTCAAGTGGAAATAAGCAGATGAGGATAGAGAATGAGAGCAAATAAATTAATATGAAAATAAATACTAGTCAATAATAAATATGACAGGTGGCGAGCAATTAGTAGTTGGGAGAATAATTTCTAGGAATGATTATCCCATATGCAGATTCGTAGCGCCTCACACGCATTGGAACGAGTACAGGCGGTTCCTTTACCCAAAAAAGTGCCACAAGGGATCGCATAAGAAGCGCTCATGGAAGCTGCACAATCTAGTAATTGATATGTAGTCACTTCACATTAATTACCCACCAAAGTAAATTCTATAAATAGCACTAAACACTTTATCTCTCAATAATATTGAAATTTTATTTATTTATTTATTTATTTATTTATTAATTTTTAGGTCTAACATCACAATTTAAAGGTAAACTATAAAGGTTGATTGCCACATCAGGTAAAATTAACGAATTGGACGGTCAGTGACCAAATTTGAATTATTGAACTAATCTTAGTGACCACAAATGGAATAAAATATTTTTAGTGGTATATGTGAAATTTTTTAGCAAGTCCAGTGACCAACTTGCAATTTACCTTTTAAATTGTATCATAACATAAAGATACAAATTCTCTTATAATACAATTTCAATTTGTACATTTAACGTTATAGTATAAATTCAAGTTGTACTTTGAAACATAATTGAAGTGCTCAACTATTAATTTTAGGTCTCAAATTAGTTTAAAAACATCTTAGCTTAAGGTTCTGAACCTGTCATTTAGTATATTATGGCTATTTGTTTGTTTAGGAAGATAAGAATCTAATTCATTATGTCTATGGACAAAATGGAAGTACAATCACTATACCACGCACGATTTGTAGGCTAGAACAATCGAAGACGCAATGAGTGTAGGGGTAGGAAAACAGATCAGATCGTTAGAAAAATCATGGTTCAAATCATACAGCACAATTTGATCTGGAATATAGATCGTTAAGTATGATCTGGTCTGGTTCATGGTCTGTATTATTTTATGTTTTGATTTTTTGGTCTGGTCTAGTCTAGACCGCGGTTTACCAGACCAAACCGTGGATCCAACCGACTTGTCAATACGTGTTAACGGCACATCCGACCACTCTCCCAACTCCCACAACGACAGCCAAGTCTCAACCTTAGTTTTGTGAATCTCGTCCCTCCTTCATTCACAACCACATTTAACTAGAGAGTAGAGATAATCGGGTCTCCATATCACATTATATTAATGTTTATGATGTTATGGTACAAGTTGTGATTCTTTTACTTTGCGTCTTTGTTATGTACTAAGATTTAGGGTATCAAAATTATTCATGCATGTTAGGATTAATGTTTTAAGCAAATAACAATTATTTTTCTTGGTTATTGGTTCAAATTTTGTGTGGTTGACTAAACAAATTATTCATTTTTTGTTGAGTGTGGTCTATTTGGACCAGACCAAACCAAACCGCACAGGCGTGGTCTGGACCGGATCGTAAAGTCTGTGGTCTGGTCTGTGGTCTATACTTTAACCTCTCGAACTGAACCATAAACCGTATATACGGTCTGGTTTGGACCAGTGCGCACCGTTTCCCAGCCCTAAATGAGTCAACCAGCAAGCTTCCCGTAACAATAGTATCTGTAGATAAATGCTCGGGAGTCGACAACTGAACTAGAGATAATGATTCACTTACACAAAACTGTTTGAAAGGGGTTCGACCTCAGAAGAGCTTGGTTGGATACTGTGAAACGAAACCAGCAATTCATTGTCACGGGTAGCATTACTGATAGGGATCTGCATTCTTCAATCATGGCTCCTTAATGAAACAACAACTACTGATCGTGACGTCTCCTGGCTGTCAACAAAAATCCTGGCTCACAGGTCCTGTCTGTCAACACCTTTTCTAACAACTAACACCCGACCATGAAAGTCCTGAAAGTAAATAAAGAAAAGAAAATCCAAGGAATGAGCGAAGAAGACCAATGAGCTAGCTTCACAGCCTAAATATTCAGATATCAGACTTAACTGTACCGTGCAAACACAGTGAAGCCTCACGTTCTGCTGAAGTGGAGAAGGATATAAACCCATAAGCACGATTTTTCCCTCCCTTACGGTCATACAACACTCTTGCACTGACCACATTCCCAAACTCACTAAATTTTTTCCTCAACTCCTCTGGTCTTATTGTCCAGGCTAGATTGCCCACGTACAACTTGTATGGGCTCTCATAGATTAGGGTTTTCGAGGGCGATGCACTCATGACCTCCTCATTTCTCTCTAGTCTCCTACCGGAAGTCATGTCGACTGAAAACCTAACTCGCATTTCCCTTCCTTCAATGTCCTACAATCAAGTAAGAAACATAAGTTCAGGCCAGAACCTTGACGCAAAGGATTGAGCTTAAATTAAAAGCCCACAGACAGCACAAGTTATATACACTTACGGAGCCATCCAACGAACACATTGCTTTTCGGGCGGAACTTTGGGAACCCATTGTCACATAACCACAACCCCGACTCACCCCAGTTTCAGGGTTCTTGGAAACCTGCAGCAATTCATCTATTTCAATACAAATTTCTACGGAAGTCAAAATGGGTCTCAATTCTCTGCTATTCAGCTGAGGCTTTCCAGATCAATTGATTGCAAATGGATCATCAAATTGAATCATACGGAATTCCTCACTCAAATTCAGAATTGAAAAGAGTAGTTCAGAGCTGAAGGAGTTTAGGAGTACCTCGACGGAGACAACTGTCCCGTAGGGTTTGAAAATTTCGACGAGTTGCGGAATATCGCACCTCCTCGGGAGGTTACAGACGTATAACTCACACGGCCGGATTTCCTTTTTCAGTCTACTTCCAGAGAAGCCACCGCTGATCTCCTCCGTTACAACAGATTCCTCATTCAAAATCGCCCGAGACCTACCCGTTGTCTGAGGTCGCACCGAGGAAGACGAAATTAGAGCTTCGGGAGTAGGAGAATGGGACCGGGGCGACGAATTGGCGCAGTTAAATTGTACAAAGAGACGCCACGATGAGGACGGAAAGTGTATGGTTGAGCTTGTCGCCGGCAAAGCGGCTGTACTTCCGGTAAGAGGAGGTGGGGCAAGGGAAGTGCCGAAGCGGGAGGCTGCCATTGGGAAGAAGTGCGAACTTGGGTGCTCTAAGTGGATATGGTTTCCAATTGAATAAAGAGTGAAGTTTCTTGTCGTCGAACAAAAACATCTAATTTGGATAAGAGGAATTTTACAATGCTATATAACATTGGTGCTATAGGTTTTTATCTTTATGGTACAACTTGAATTATACATTTAACGGTTATGGTACAATTTCAGATTGTACAATGCTATATAGTATTAGCGCTATAGGTTTTTGTCTTTATGGTACAACTTGAATTATACATTTAACGTTATGGTACAACTTCAGATTGTACCTATACTTTTTTACAAATTCTTTTATGGTACAATGATAGACCGTTAATTGCACATGTTTTTACCCCTATTCTCGAGCCGTTTGAGATGTTGATTCTCGTGTTTTAGGCCGATTTCACACTAGGTTGTTCTTGTTTGTGATATTTCAGGTACTAGTACGTGAATGAAGGTTTAGGAACGAGTTCGGGGTCAATTGGACAAAGTTTGGACGTTTGGCGAGAAGCTGGGAAGCCACACGGGCACCATTGCACCTCACACGGCCGTGTAGGGGCCCCTTGTGGCCTTGTGAAGGCTCGTTAAAAGCCACACGGGCAGCCTGGGGAGCCACACGGCCGTATGGCCTCTGGCCGTGCAGCTTGCCTGGCTACCCACTAATCGAAACGCCGCGTTTGGACACTCACACGGGCAGCTGGGAAAGTCACACGGGCGTGTGGCCTGGCCGTGTGAGTCGGGAATTTCTGGTTTTAAGCCAATTTCGAGCCAAATGAGAGGGGGAGATGGGTTTTTGGATCCCAAAACACCCAAGGGACGAACCCTAGAGAGAGAGCGACTTGGGAACATTCTTGGAGCTACTTTGGAGGATTTCTTCGCCATTGAAGCTGGGGAATCAAGCTTGGAGATGGAGATTGAAGATCTAGATCAGATTTCTGCAGTCTCTTTCTTCTCTATGGAGTAACTTCCCTTCACTTAGGTTTTGAGGAACCCTAGTTCCATGTGTTAGGATCTTTCTTGTATGAAGTTTTGGATGCTATATTGTTTGATTATAATCGATTGAGGCATGATTTATAGAGTCAATTGAAGCCTGATCATCTTCTCTTGATTTCTGCTTTAACCTATGATAGATAGAATCTGATTAGGTTAAGAGAGCTTCCTTGATTGATAGTGGTGAATTGGTTGTGCGAGAGTCAATCAATTCACTGCTTTGTACTGGAATTCATTCAAGTAGTGGAGATCTGTGTGAATCACCTTAGCAGTCTATCCCGGTGAAGGCTAGTCGCCTGCCGGGTACTTTGTTTAAGAGAGCTTGGTCAGCTTAAGAGATTCCAAGCTAATTTAGGATCTTTCGCAGTTTAATCAACAGTAGATCAACCAAAAGTAATTACAATTTGGACCTAATTGAGGAGCTAGGGGGAATCATACCTAAGTGAGTTCCCAATTTGTAATTAGTAGAGTAGTTAGTAGAGTAGTTTAGTAAATCAATAATTAATCTAGTTTGCTAGATAATGAATTGAAGCTGAGTAATAGTAACTCTAGAGACCCGTGGATTCGATATTTATTACTTGTGCCACTATACTGCAGTTCCTTTCATTGGTTACACTTGGCCATTGTTAGGTGTTGTGTCGTAGCGTGTCAAGTTTTTGGCGCCGTTGCCGGGGACTTTCTAGATTATTAGGAAAGGCAGAAGTTTGTTACTTTAGCGTTTTTCTTTTCTTTTCCACCCTGGCTTTTCACTTGGGTGTTTTTGTTTTTGTTGGTGCAGATCTGAATCATGGATCCTCATGGCTTCTCCAACCATTGGGGGTATTCACCACCATTCGAGTGGTATTACCCCGAGACCCCCTGGAGCAATCAAGGAGGAGAAGACTATGGATTAGGGTTCCAATACCAACCCCTTTACTACGGAGAACAATCAGACCCCTGGGCATATCAAGAACAACCTCCTTATCAAGAAGACTTTCTCCCACAACCAGAAGGGCCATTGGAGCTGGAGTTACCCATGGCGGCCTTCACGGGCCACTCTGCAGAGCCATGCTACACTTCACTGGAAGATCCGAACATGTTGGGCCCTAGCGAGGAGATGCAAGATGATCTCATTGAAGAAATTACATGGCGACTTGCTCTCCAATTTGTTCTAGAAGAAGAAGAGAGAGAAAGGGTGAGGGAAGAAGTTGTGGAGGATGAGGAAGAAAGCAAAGAAGATGAAGTTCTTGATCATTTCTCAGGGGTGATACCACATGAAGAAGAAAGGGAGGTTGAAGAAATTGGCGTCCAGGCTGAGGACGAAGTTGAGGTGGAAGAGGCCTGCACCGGCTATTAGTTGCAAGTAATATCCCCACCAAACTTCGAGGAACTGCTTAGCAAGGACCCATTTGCAGTTTCTCTTTGCCAAACCAAGACCACGTCGACATCGGTTCCTCTTGGTGGACGCGATGGTGGTCAATCGATGTTGTCATATCTAGTTTGGGGCAATGAGACGAGAGAAGAGAAGAAGAGGTCTCGAGGGTGGAGAAGTTATATGCATCAAGTGCACGAGCTTCCATCGCCTGTCATACCACATGTTCGTGACTTGAGACTCCACCTCATCGACGAGAACCTCAACTTCAAGGAGGTTTTGGGGTGGACCGAAACTTAGGAGCCATCGTCCAGCTCACGACGTGAAAGAAGCGCTTGTTGGGAGGCAACCCAACCAGTCGGTTTGCATTTCTTTCTCTTTTTCTCCTCGGTTGAGTCAGTTTTGTTATTTGATTTTAGAGTCAATAACTCAACCTTTGTGAGATTTTGTGTGGTGTTTGTGTTCCGACTACTCTCTCCTCCTGGAATGCACCGCCTGCCCCGTCCACCATCATTCACTCTTGATCTGGTAACTTTGTTCTACCCTCCTTATCTTTCCTCCATTGAGGAAAATGTCGTGCTTAAGTGTGGGGGCATGGTCAATTATGTATGCGGGTGAATGTTGTCTGTTTGTGTGCTTGGAGCCTAGTCCACTGTCCAAATTTTTAAATTTGAGGGCTCCAAGTACGTGTTTCCTTGCAAATTGCCTGCTCAGTATGCTTTGAATTGACAGTCTCTATAGTAATGTGCAACCTAGGGAGGTAGTGTAGCACTATGGAGGATGTTGAAGTATAAGACTTTTCCTATCTAGGTCTCTGCTGTGCCAGTTGATTTTGTGAACTAGTGGATTTAGGACCATTGATTCATGTGGTATTGATGACTCTTCTTATGCTGTGTTGTGGACTCGTGTATCAAAAAAGGGTGCTAAAGTGTGAATTGAAAAAGCAGTTGGTCCTCCATGTCAAAAATGTGAAATTCTAAGACATGTGGTAAGCTCAACGTGTGTGGCACCGTTCATTGCACAAAATCGGGTTTTGGAAGAGATTTTAGTGATCCTTGGTGGGGTAGGCCTACAAGGTGAAGCTAAGTTCTCTCTAGTACAAGTAAAATTTCCACCCGTTGAACGGTTTGCCTACTTGAGGATGTGTTTTTAAGGGCACGGATAGAGCTTCCGACCCCCCTTAATTTCATTGACCCTCCACATGAGTTGAGAAAAAGGAGTTAAAAGAAGTACTCTGGCGAGCGCCAGATGTACAGAAATTGCTCTTGCTCGACTAATAAGGGTCGACCATGCAAAAGACTGCAGTTGGAACCCCCACCAAGTGAATTAAAAAAAAAAGAAGTAAAATGAAAGTGAAAAAGGGGTTCCAACGGTGAAATGAAGTGAAAGAGCACCCCCGGTACAACGAGTCCTTGGTTGTTGAATGGTGAGAGTCTCCTTATCCATGAATTGACTGTATTAGTTCAATTGCTTCTCATGATCCAGGCTTGAGTCTAGTACTCGCATTGAGAGAGATAGGGGACGTCTTAGAAGACCAGTTGACCTCGTAAGCTGCTTTATGATCTAGAAAGTCCTCTACCGACGATCGGGGTTGTTTGTTGCTATAGAGGTCTGGAGAGTTGCATTGGTTTGAGTCAGGTTTGCTTGGGGACAAGCAAACGGTTAAGTGTGGGGGAGTTTGATAGACCGTTAATTGCACATGTTTTCACCCCTATTCTCGAGCCGTTTGAGATGTTGATTCTCGTGTTTTAGGCCGATTTCACGCTAGGTTGTTCTTGTTTGTGATATTTCAGGTCCTAGTACGTGAATGAAGGTTTAGGAACGAGTTCGGGGTCGATTGGACGAAGTTTGGACGTTTGGCGAGAAGCTGGGAAGCCACACGGGCACCATTGCACCTCACACAGCCGTGTAGGGGCCCCTTGTGGCCATGTGAAGGCTCGGTAAAAGCCACACGGGCAGCCTGGGGAGCCACACGGCCGTGTGGCCTCTGCCCGTGCAGCTTGCCTGGTTGCCCACTAATCGAAACGCCGCGTTTGGACACTCACACGGGCAGCTAGGAAAGTCACACGGCCGTGTGGCCTGGCCGTGTGAGTCGGGAATTTCTGGTTTTAAGCCAATTTCGAGCCAAAGGAGAGGGGGAGCTGGGTTTTTGGATCCCAAAATACCCAAGGGACGAACCCTAGAGAGAGAGAGCGACTTGTGAACATTCTTGGAGCTATTTTGGAGGATTTCTTTGCCATTGGAGCTGGGGAATCAAGCTTGGAGATGGAGATTGAAGATCTAGATCATATTTCTGCCGTCTCTTTCTTCTCAATGGAGTAACTTCCCTTCACTTAGGTTTTGAGGAACCCTAGTTCTATGTGTTAGGATCTTTCTTGTATGAAGTTTTGGATGCTATATTGTTTGATTATAATCGATTGAGCCATGATTTATAGAGTCAATTGAAGCCTGATCATCTTCTCTTGATTTCTGCTTTAACCTATGATAGATAGAATCTGATTAGGTTAACAGAGCTTCCTTGATTGATAGTGGTGAATTGGTTGTGCAAGAGTCAATCAATTCACTGCTTTGTACTGAAATTCATTGCAGCAGTGGAGATATGTGTGAATCACCTTAGCAGTCTATTCGGGTGAAGGCTAGTCGCCTGCCGGGTACTCTGTCTAAGAGGGCTTGGTCAGCTTAAGAGATTCCAAGCTAATTTAGGATCTTCCGCAGTTTAATCAACAGTAGATCAACTGATAACGATGTAACTGCACATATTTGCGCCCCTAGTTCTTATCCGTTTGAGGGGCATAGTCGTGTATTGTGGCCTATTTTACGCCGGGTTGTGCTATTTTGTCATGTTTCAGGTCCCAGGTGTCAAAGGGAAGGCTAAGCGCGAGTTTCGGGGCATTCGGAAGTCATTTCGGTGAGCTGGAGCCAAAACACGGGCACACCTAAATCATTACACGGCCGTGTTCTGGTGGCCGTGCTTTTTATGCCGAGAGCTGAGCTGATTACACGGGCAGGGCCAAAACAAAGCACGGGCGTGTTCAAGCATTACACGGCCGTGTCCAAAGCGAAGCACGGCCGTGTTTCTCCCCACTGCTGCTAGTGTAATTAACACTAGCCAAAGCACGGGCGGGCTGAGGCATTACACGGCCGTGCCCTCGACCGTGCTTTGGCTGATGCCTTTTTAAGCAGATTTTCAGCCAAACAGAAGGGGGATTCGAGTTTTTGAGAGAGAGAACGATTCCTAGAGAGAGAAAGTGACGAGCAAGAGTTCCCAAGTGCCCTAGATTGATCTTCAACACCATTGGAGGCCAGCTTGAGCTTGGAGAAGTGCCAATCAACGTCCAGAAGCAGGAATCCATCCTTCGCAGTATGAATTCCGTGTCTGAATCTGCTTTTGCTTTCTTCTCTATGGAGTAGTTCTCCCATTCATCTGGGTATGGAGAACCCTAGATTTGTATGTTAGGCTTTGATTGTATGAACCCAAGTACTGATTCTGTGATTGATTATATTCGATTGAGGTTTTAATGATTGAATGACTTGAATCCTGATCAAATTCCTGTTGTTTCTGCTTTAACCTAGAATGAGAATATCTGCCTAGGTTAATAGAGTATCCTTGATTGAAGGTAGGGAGTTGGTGACTTTAGTCGAGGAGCCAACTCACTATTCTGTACCGGATTTACTCCGGTAGTGGAGGTTTTGTTCTTAGGGCCTCAATCTGTCGACTCCGGTGGAGGTTAGTCGCCCGCTAGAGAGTCAGATTGAGAGGGTCTGAAGACCTTTAGTCGAGACTTCAGGCTGTTTAAGAACCTTCCGCAGTATAACTGTCATAGAAACTGAACTTGGTAATTACAATCCGGCTTAACTGCAGTCTAGGGGGAACCATATCCGGGTGACCTCTTAACCTGAATACAACAGTTTACTTGCTTTGTTAGTTTGTTAGTTTAGCTTGCATTTCAGTTTCATTGCTAGATAACAAGAATTCACTGAGTAGTCATCACATCTAGGACCCGGGTTGATAATTAAACCCAAACCCGCTATACTACGCTTTAGGAAGTGGTTTCACTTGGCCAATTCCTGGAGTGGCAGTAGAGTCGAGTCATCAACCAAAAGTAATTGCAATTTGGACCTAATTGAGGAGCTAGGAGAATCATACCTAAGTGAGTTCCCAACTTGTAATTAGTAGAGTAGTTTAGTAAATCAATCCTTAATCTAGTTTGCTAGATAATGTACTGAAGCTGAGTAATAGTAACTCTAGAGACCCGTGGATTCGATATTTATTACTTGTGCCACTATAATGCAGTTCCTTTCATTGGTTACACTTGGCCATTGTTAGGCGTTGTGTCGTAGCGTGTCATACAACTTAAACATGTACCTTATGTGATGGTACAACTTCAAGTTGTAAAGTTGTACTATAACATAATTATACAAATTCCTTTATGGTACAACCTAAACTTATACATTTAATGTTATGGTACAACTTCAAGTTGTACATTAAAGTACCAATGCTATATAGCATAGTAGAAGTGCTCATAGGATAGTTATTATAAATGGTTATAAAACTATGACTAAGATCATGTGATTAAGAGGTTCCTTAGTCACATGACTAAGTCAATCTCAGCCATTGAACTTCATTAAAATCTAATGGCTCAAATTAATCTACTTTAATGAAGGATAAGATGATAATTACATAGTTTATTTATTTAACAATTAAAATAATAAAAATTACCTGCCCCTTGCCCCTCCTCCTGCTGGCGGTCTTTTTTATTTTTTTTGCCCCATCCCTTGCCCCTCCCGCTGGCGGCCTTTTTATTTTGCCTCATCCCTCCAAAGTGACAGCTAAGAGAGAGAAAGAGAGAGAGTTTTCTTGTCAACTTTTCCGGCGACGGTAGGGGAGTTTTCCGACGACCAGAGACGATAGTGGATGATTTTCCGGCAACAGTGCCCAATTCGTGATGTTTGTCAACCTATATTGTAATGTTTATAAGTTCAGTTTGTATTGTTTATACAAATTCAGTTTGTATAATTTATCATTCTACTTTGTCATTTTAGTCTGTTATGTTTGTAATGTTTACATGACTAATTTGTATATATTTTGATTTATAATATTTGTTGCTCTAGTTTGTACACTTTTATGTTATGATTTGTATACTTTGTATTCATTGATTTGTAATATAATTTTACCGATTTGTATTTGTAAGTAGTGTTATTTTGTAATGTTAGTATGCTTTGTAATGTTTGTCGGTTTCTTCTGTAATGCTACAAGGTTTATTACTTTTGTAATGTTTGTCGGTTTTTTTTAAATATTTGTAAGCTTTGTTATTTTTGTGCACTAGGTTTGTCACTTTTACAAAACATACAAACCATACAAATCACACCGACATTATGTACAAAAATACTAACAATACAAACGGACAACACTTGCATTACAAATCACTGTACTTCCCTCTCT